GGGGGGGGATGCTGGGACTCCTCTTTGCCTTGTTGAGGTCGGAGACCAGCAGGAGCGGCCCGCCCGCCCGGGCCAGAGGGCATCGGAAGAGCAGGAAGTCTGGATTGCAGCCCCAGATTTATCTCAAGCTCACAATGTGGCCATGGGAGAGACACCTGAGCTCCCCGGGCCTCAGTGTTCCCACCTGAGTCCTGTCTAATGGGCTCTCCTAAGATCACACCCCCATAGCACAGGACCTCTCTCCCCCAGACGCAGGGAGCTTGCCTGGGGTGCCACTAGGGGCGGGGGTGGGCGGGGGATCAGGTCCCCTAAGCCTGGCCATCACCCCGACTCTGGGCACAGTGGTATTCATGGGCCGCCTCTCTGGGGTCCTCGCCCTCTTCTGTTCTGCCCTGGGTTTTGGACAATGAGGGCCAACCCAGCTTAGGGCCTGTCGGCCCGGACAGCCTGACTCCTCCTGCCGGTCAGACAGGCCGAGGGGGCGAGGAAGTCCCTGGTCTTGGTCGCTCTTCCCACCCAGGGCCCTGTCCTTTGGGATCTGACCTTCCCGGCCTGTTGAGAGCTGTTCCTAGGTTGCTCGCACCCTCCGCCAGCATGAGAACGCTGCCAAGGCCGAGTTTGAGTTCTAAATCCTCCACGTCGATGAGGCTTACTTAGTCAGCTAGCCGCGTCACCTCTGAATCCAAGCTTCTCCATTCGCTCAGATCTGGGCTTCCGGTCGGCAGGAGAGGGTAAAGGGAGGTAAGGGCAGGGCCCAGCACAGGGCTCCCCCCTGGGACCACTCCCTGGGCTGCCCTGCTGCCTGCCTGGCCAGGTTTCCACCTCCGGGTGGGGGTGCAGGGTGGACAAGAAGGAAGAAAGTCATGGGCCGCCCGGCCCGCCCTTGTGGCTCAGTGGCTGAGCGTTGACCTCTGGCCCAGGAGGTCAGGGCTCGATTCCCGGTGGGGGCACATGCCCAGGTAGGTTGCGGGCTCGATCTCCAGTGCGGGGTGTGCAGGAGGCAGCCGATCCATGATTCTGTCTCATCATGGATGTTTCTATCTCTCTCTCCCTCTCCCTTCCTCTCTGAAATCAATTTAAAATAAATAAAAAAAAGTATAAGTCATGGCCCAGTGAAATTAGGCTTGCTGCCAGCTTATCTGCTGCCTCACCCCCTTCCCTCCTTACACCCAGGGGTCGGAGCTGGGGGTTCTTGTGTGTAAGCTACAGGCCCGACTGTCCTGCTGTACCCCAGTCACAGCCCCTTCCCCCAGAGAATGAGCCTGTTTCCTCCTCTCGGAACCCACAGCGCTCCCCTCCTACCTACCTACGCCACATGCCTTGGGCCCTTCTTTCCTCCCACTGTGTACCAGGCCCGAGGCATTGTTCTGGGGTCGATGAATGAACCAGATACCAGCCTGCCCTTCCAGAGATAAGACACACAAGCACCATCACCTACAATGCCAGGGCCAGATCGATGTTCCAAGGAGAGGAGGTGGCAGGTGACTGGGACGGAGCCTAAGGGAGGGACCATTCGTTTGGGGTTGGAAGAACCCTGGGGAGCTTCGGGAAGGAGTGGCATTGGAGCCGGGACTGAAAATGTGGGGCGGGAAGAAAATAGAAAGTTCCGTTCATTCCACGGGGACGCAAAGGCGTGAGCAAAGTTGTGGTGGTTGGTGGGAAACGTGGCCGGAACCAGAGAGGCGGGGAGAGGAGGTGGCAGGGGGGACCGGCAGGACCTCAAGGTGGCCCTGCTTACGGCCTTCACCCTGCTAGGCCATCAGGTCCCGGGGCCTCGGACCCTGTTCGACTCGCCTCTGAACCCCCACAAGCCCGCTACCCACGGCAGAGCATCTAGCACACATCTCGGCTGTTAAATAAACGTATGCTGGCCCGGCTGGTGTGGCTCAGTGGTTGGGCATCGGCCTATGAACCAGCAGGTCACGGTTCCATTCCCGGTCAAGGGCACATGCCCAGGGTGCAGGCTCGATCCCCAGTGTGGGGCGTGCAGGAGGCAGCCGATCAATGATTCTCCCTCATCATGGATGTTTCTTTCCCTTCCTCTCTGAAATCAATTTTTTAAAAAATTATATATAAATAAATAAAGGAACCCTCAGCTTCTGGCTTCGGGCAGGGCCTGGCTGCCTTCCTGGCTGGATATGTGGCCGGGACCTGTGCCTACCACCCTTCCAGGGGCAAGATGTTCATTTCAGTGTCAAAGGGAAATAGAAGAACGACCCGTACGTGGTTTCAGCACTTCACACTTTACAAGGCCTTTTCGGGTCTAGCTGTTCATTTAAGCCCCCGGGGACCCCCCCAAGTTAGGAGGGTCAGACGATCTATTGAGGAACCTGTGGGTAAGAGTGCGTGCAGAGTTGGGAATCCAAGTTACAGGTTTCTAGGCCATAGGTTGCCAGGTGCCCGTGGGCCAGGGGACGGACTCACCTGGGAGCTGCCTGCAGAGGCTGCTCGGGAAGGAATGCACAGGGAAAACATTCACCTCCAACCTCCCCCTTCACACCCACCCCCTCCGCACCCCCGGGAGTCTGGAGTTACCCGTGATAAAGGCCCAAGTTATCCTTCCTCCTGTCTTCCCTCCCCAGGTGCCCTGGCTCCCTTCTCCTTCCTCCACTGAAATTTATCTATCGCCCGCCCACTAGGGAGCAGCTACTTAATCTGATCATATAAATCCCGGAGTAATCATCTGGTAAACTCCTCCGGGCTGGTTACTAAGAGAGAGAGTCCCTCCTCTCCGGCCTCACCCTTTCTTTATCCCCCCAACCCCTGCCCAGCAACTCGGCCTCCCTGCTAGGTATGTTGCTCCCCTGCTCAAGAATCTGCCATGGCTCCCTAGTTCCTTGACTCGCATTCAGGACCTACCCGCATCCTCAGCTGCCACCCATCTCCCTTCACACACACGTTCATTTCAGTGCGAGAAGCGCCCTGCTGCCCCTCACCCATTTCCTCCTCAGCGGTTCTCAACCTGTGGGTCTCGACCCCTTTGGCGGTCGGACGACCCTTTCACAGGAGTCGCCTAAGACCATCCTGCATATCAGATATTTACATGACGGTTCATCACAGTAGCAACATGACAGTTATGAAGTAGCAACGAAAATAATTTTATGGTTGGGTCACAACATGAGGAACTGTATTTAAAGGGCCAGAAGGTTGAGAACCACTGTGCTAGATCCTCCCTGGCCCGCAAAGCCCTGATCCAATGCCGTTTCCAGGAACCTCTCCCTGATCTACCCAACCCAGCGTGACCTCTGCCACCCAGTAGCCTGTGTCTCCTGACCTTGATACTGACACTGTGGGTTATAGTGGTGTCTATCAAGCAACAGCCTGGCCCAACAAGGAGAGCTCAGCCTCGGGGGGCCGGCCGGCCTGCGATGAGATCCAGGCCCCGCCACCTGGCAGCTCGGGGATGGTTGTGCTGTTCCGAGTGCACCTGGCCGGGCGAGGAGGTGTGAACAGCTGAAAGTAGGGTGCCAGAGCCGAGATCTCGAGGAACAGAGGCTCACGGTTCCAGTCGTGGGAGTCAGTGCCCTGGGGTTGGGATTCATCCGGGAAGCAGCTCCAGACACAGACAGGAGCACTGGACGGGGAGTCCAGAACCTGGGTGCTCGGCCCAGTTCTTGAGTGAATGCACTTCAGTGACCAATCCGCCATGGGCACGTGGGGCCTCCTCAGGGCTGTTTGCCCTTGACCTCTAGCCTGGGCCGTCTCCCCTCTACGACAAGGGTGTTGACCTGGAGATCAAAGGCTGCCGGGGGCCCTGGCCTCCGATTCTGCGGTGTCAGCGGGAACGGGCTGGTGCGGAGGTTGGCACGGGGGATGGCGAGTTGGAGGGAGCAGACTTTCAAACCCTTCCGCAAATATTTGTGGAACACTCTACCGCCACCAGGCCAGGGCAGCCATGTGCCAGCAGGCGGCCGGGCAGAAAAGCCCTGCCTTGAACCTCCGCGCCTCCCTGCCTCCTCCCCGCCCCGCCCCGCCCCGCCATGTGGGGCTGCAGGTGCCTCCAGGCCTTTCCCCACAAAGTGGGGGAGGAAGGAAGAAATCAGAACTACCTGGAACTGCACGGCGGGGCCTGCACAGTAGAATGAGGAAGCGATGGGCTCCCTCCTGTCCCTGCCCACCCCCACTCTCCCCTCCCCACTCTCCCCCCACCCCGCCCTGACCAGACCTGGGAGACAGAGCAGCTTTCATTCTTTTGCTCCTGTTGGTACTGTTTTGCAGTGTTCATGGCGCCTCTGAGGATGAAGCCAAGTAGGCCCTGCCCTCAAGGACTTCCTGGTTATAGGGATTATGGGCCAGGCAGCGCCTACACCCGTCCGCCCCCCCCCCCCCCGCCCAGTGCCGACGGGAGGGGCCCCACCCAGTGGAGGGGGGGGGCATCCCAGGTTCCCCCAGAGATCAGACAGCTGAGCAGGAGTCAGCCAGATTAGAGGGGGCAGGAG